ATGACATGGATACATATGGAGCTTAACGTGACTATGGAAGGCTACCCCGAAAACCACCATGATATATAAGTCATCGAAGTATGATCATTTGGACTTTGAGAAAGATAAGAGCACATTCTAAGAGACCAAAAGGAGCATTTGAAGCCAATTTCCATGTTTTGAGGGCCCAACACAATTATATATGCATGGAGGCGTCCATTGGAGCCATAATCTTTTAAATTAGGGCCCAAATGCATTGTGCTATGGACCATAAAAATTCCAGAACGTGATTCAATCACATTCAAGCCCAAATAGATGTCTAAAAGGCCCATTTATGCTTTTGGACGTGAATAGCAATGAAGGTCCATTTGGAAGGTCCAAGAAGATTCAAGAAGCATCACGTGTGATATTATTGACATTAATTAGGATTTTGTTTGTTTTAATTAGTTTCCTATTTTTCAGTTTCCTATTTTGAAATAGCATATTTATTCTTGAAGTTTAGGTTATTTCCTTTTTATTTTTGTGTAATAAATGATGCCTCCTCTAGTCAAATAATCATTAATGAGGCATCATCCCTAGCATTTATGTTTTAGGATATTGATTCTAGAGTATTCTATTGTTGCCTATATATAGGCTACATTTTTTTTTGTAATTGAATTAAGACTTAGATGAATGAGAACTGAGTTTATTTCTTTCCGTGTGAGCTTTGCTTACATCCTTGTATTCTCATGAGAATACTCGACAGTATCAAGGGATTGATCAACCTTGTGGTGTCTTCATGGCTAGGGTTGTAAGAGACAGGTTCTCTTAAGGTCCTACCTAGATCAACCATCTATTCGTTACTTGATTCTAGCCAGTACGTCCCCCCTCATATCAGTGATTTTGTTTGGTTGGATAACCTTGGTTTATGCTTTTGCCAAATGCATTGAATCGTGTTAATATGGAAGTGTTAATGTTCCTCTCCTAGCATATTGTTGGATGTGATTTTACGTGGCTTGAGGATGTCTTGAAGTTCATAACATATCACATTGTAGCTTGCTTGATTTAGGTGATAATTATAGTTCAATTGCTAAGGAAATCTCATTCCCCCTATGTCAATTTATTTATCATTTAGGAAGTGGCTCATCCATGGATCAAGGCAAGGAATTGGTGCTAGGATGAAAGAGCATTGTGAATGTTATATTGTTTTGGGATGTTATGTAATGTCCCAATGAACTTTATGTTAAATTGTAATGAGTTATGAATGAGAATATGATGCAAAGTATATTTTTATGCCATGCCCTTAGGTGTAATTCTATGTGGAAGAATGCTTAAAGGGTATGGGAGAAAGGAAAAGGAAACAAAATTCAAGGAAATTAAACATTAGGGATAAAAAGACTCAAATTAGGGGCAAAATTGTGACACATAAAATAATAAGCAAATGATGGAATCTGGACCTAAGAATTTGTACGCAAATAGATCTTATTTTTAGCTTTAAAAAAGTGGTAAACCATTAAAATTGGAGTTTTGTGCTAAGAGTTATTTCCCTTCCAAAGTTGAACTAAAATACTAGAAATTTGAAAATTGACTATATGAACAGTATACTTTGTCAAATTTTATGGTGTTGTTTGAATGGAATTGTGTCCAATGAATATTTTACCTCTATAGAACTCTTAGCAAGCTTTGCGTGAAAATTGGAACCACCTGATTTTGATCTTTCTAGAATTAGTTATGAATTTTTAAAATTGGCCCAAATCTAGATAAATAGTATACGGACGGACTAAATTGAAATTGAAAATTTTCTATCAGAAACATTGGGAAATGCGTCATTATGGTTCCAATTGATATATAATTGGATATTAAAGAAGGTGTGACAAACAACCTGCACAGACCGATAATGATGGTCTGAGCATTTCATTGCTCTTCTTTTAATGATGGTGTGGTTGAACTTGAATGAGCTCGCTTGATTATTTGAGAGACAGATTATTTAGTATTTGTAATAGGGTATTACATTTATAAGCTTGTACTGAATGCTAGAATTTTACTTTTCTAAAATGCAAGTTACAAATTAATATAGTGAGTGACGCCAAAGTAAGTAATCATTGATGCAAAATGGAGCAATTGTTATTAACCCGAATTGTCCATATTGAAACTTGTTAGATGAAATTATAGGTTTATTGATCATTAGATGAAATTTATTTTTTAATGAATGCAATATAATTGTTTCTAACTTCATTTGTGTTTTAATATTGAAAATCAATAATAAAAGTATAGGGCACTTTTTTGGATTGGAAGTGATTCTAATCCAAAAAAATGCCCCCTTTTTTTTAAAAAAAAAATCCACTTTTTTACTTTTGTTTTGGGCAAAACAGAGGTAAAAAGTCCCACATTTTACTTCTATTTTGGGTTAAAAAAAGACATAAAAATAGGGCTTTTTACCTCTGTTTTGAGCAAAACAGACGTGAATAATAGGGTTTTTTAGTCTGTTTTAAGCGAAACAGACATGAAAAGGGCTTTTTTTTAAATCTGTTCAAAACAGAAGTAAAAAAAAAAGTATTTATTACGTCCATTCTTTTTATGTCCCCCTCAAAACAAAAGTGAAAAGTCCTTCAGAACAGAAGTAAAAAGTTTGTGCTGTAGTAGTGAAATATTTATGCATTACTAGTATAAGCAAGGGAGATCGATCATTCCTAAATGAGCCATGAGTTTTTAATAGAGTGGAAGTGAGACTAACGATTGAATCTGCCCATAGAATTTGGTGAAAAATTAGAACACATCCTAAGCTTTCAAATGAGTTGTAGATCACTTAAAATGGATGTATTTGCTAAGAGATATGATTGCTTTACCAATTGAATAGTGAACTTCCACAAATTAACTGTATAAATTGAGAAGGGTTAAGCTCATATTTATATTTTTTTTCTTCTATAAAGAACTAAAAGAGCTTTAAATCACCTCAATACGATTTTTTTATAATTAGTTATGAAATTTCAAAGTTGGACTGAAACTCTAAAGTTTACTAGTGAATGGAACTTGAGAAACAAATTTCAAATTTTCAGTCTACAGGCTTATTTCATGATCCACTTGGACTATAATACTTCTAGGCACGTACTAAGAGGAGTAAATGGAAGGATGTTTCACTCCGTGGGAAGTGTAATCCAGGGCTTTTTCTCAAAAATGAAATATTTTCAAATAAAATGTTTTCTAGAGCTGTGTGAGTTTTTAGAACCGCAAGCTCAAACAATTGCTCTTCCATGTGAGATTATGGGAATCTCCTTAGTAAGTGCAATCACTCAAGAGTTCTTTCAAGAATAAATATTTTCATGGAAAATTGTTTTCATGAATTAAAAAACACAAACCCATAGAAAATATCTTTCTTTTAATAAATTAAAATAAATGTTTCTTCTAAAAAATACCAACCAAGTGACATGTATTTTTAACCCCCAAGCTATATGGGCTTTGATCCCTCTAAAAGGTATCAAGTCCAATTTTATAAATAATTCCTTTTTCTTTTATATTTATCTTTTTGTAAATAAAAAATTTTCTTTTATTTATTCTTTTTCTATGGGTGGTTAAAATTTTTTTTTACAGGCCACATTATTTTTTAATCAATTTAAGATAGCTGTTCTATTGAACAAGTGCCGTGGGGTGCCTAACACCTTTCCCACACATAATCAACTCCTAAACCCTATTTTGTTTTCACAAATTGGGATTTGAGCATGACAGAATTCTTTGGTGACATTCACCAATAGCTCCACTTGATGAAGGGCAGCATTAGTGGTATTGGAAGCCGTATTAGATCTCTGGCATTTGGACAACATGGTTGCTCTAGTGTTCAACAATAGAGAACAAAATATAATATAGGGGTAAATAAAGTTTCAAATCAATGTAAAAGCTTTCAAAATTACATTTGAAATTAAAGCACAATAGAAGTTTAAGAGATGGGAGTACAAATTGTTTAAAATGACATATAGGATGATTTTGTGTTCAGAGCCATCATATATTGGTTTATTTTTTCTTTTATTTAAATATATCAATAATATGTGATGGTTAGATATGTTAACTATCATGTATTTGTTAAGAATATGTGGCGGTTTCTTTTACAACCGTCACAACATTCCGCCTCACACCATATATGATGGTGTTATGTTCTAACCATCATGCATTGGGCATGATATATTTGAAAATCTGTGGTAGTGTTATTTGTTGATTTGCTTGATAACCATTTTGGAATGTTGTGAATCTCCGTAAACGGTACCTAGAGTTCAAAATCATTGTTCTTTATTCATAAACATGAAAATGTTGTACTATATGTGAAACTTTATGTTTATATTGGGACATATTCCTATGCTTTAAGATGCACATGTGTTGTTGTTGGACTGGAGATATTATGATTATGAGTCATAATGAGAACCTTATACAACTGCTATCTCACTGTTAAGTGCACAATGAATTGCGATTCATAGGGGTCCGTTCCCATGATTTTCTTTGGCCAAGATCATGATTATTTTGTCGGACGTGATATTAATTGGTTTCATTTAAGCAAATCAAACATAGTCCAAGGATGAATCCTATTGAGAGATAATGTATTAGCCTATGGCTTCTGAAAGCTGAATAAGAATGGAAGGGGACATAAGGATGTACATCAATTGATTGAATAGCCAACGTTTATTAGGACGTTAGATTTTACTATTATTACTTGTACTTTTTTTTGGTGATGGTTCTTCCGTAGACCAAGCTAGGGAAGATCCAGGAGGGTAAAACCTTGTTTTAAATTATGCAACTAATTCTTTTTGTTTTCAGTATGTTAAGGATTAGACGAAGTATGTTTTATTTCTAATATTATTCTTGAAAGCGATGCTTTTGATTAATTAAATAAAGCGACAAGATATGACAGAGAAGAAAAATGAACGAAGAATATTATGATTTAAAATATAATTAAGTATAAGCAAATATTAATGTAAAAATTGATAAATATGAAAAATGAAAACATTGATCTAATTGAAGCATTTCCTTTGATCGCTTATAAACCAATTAAATATTTATTCTTTTACCAATATATATTGGTTTTTCAGTCCGAGCAAACGCAATTGAAAACTATAATACATAGATTCAATAATAACATTGAACAAAATAGATGCATGAACTGGGCAATGTCTCACAACAATCACATCTAAAACAAAATAGAAGAAAGTGAGAGTGAAAGCACAAATGCTATATATGATATTAGACATAGTACAAATATTTTTACATAATTTCTTTTGGTAAATACGAGCAAGGAAATTTGCTTCCAGTCTCCTTTCTGCCATGTTGTAAAGCGCTTCTATAGATCGCTTTCAATTTATTTGATAATGAGAATATATTATAAGATCCTGTAGCAAGATATTTATATAAATCCATTAGTCCATGCCCCCGTAGCCAAATGTCAATCACAACAATGATGTTTCAAATATACATATACGAAATGACACTAATACCAGGACAATTTTTTTTTTTGGGGTGAAAACTAGGCCAATTTATTGGATCAAGTTTCATGCATTATGACCCATAGCTCAAAAACCAAGTCATACTAGCTATTCACAGTAATTTATTCCATAACACGGGATATTAGTTTATTAAATGTGTGCGTCGATTCTCTTTTTCCCCTGATGAACTATAAAGTATAAGAAACAAGAAAGAGCAGTAAAACAGAACTAATAAAGCTTACCAAGTAGTACGACCCATGGCGGAAATGCAATATCTAGTAGTGGTAAGGAGGGGGTGGGGAAGAATAAACATAGGGTTTGTAAACTGGGGCTGGGGGAGGAGACTCGTAGACATAAGGCTTCATGTATGGTGGTGGAGAGTCATATATTGGGTAGTAATATGGAGAGTATTCATAAACTGGTGGAGAAGGAGATGGGTATACATATTCTTTTTCTGGTGGAGGAGGAGGAGGAGGAGATGGGTAAACATATTCCTTCTTCGGCAGAGGAGGAGATGGGTATACATATTCCTTCTTTAGTGGTGGAGGTGGAGATGGGTATACATATTCCTTTCTTGGAGGAGGAGGAGAGGGATATTCATATTCCTTCTTTGGTGGAGATGGGTGTACGTATTCCTTCTTAGGTGGTGGAGGTGGAGATAGGTATACATATTCCTTCTTTGGAGGAGGAGGAGAGGGATATTCATATTCCTTCTTCGGTGGTGGAGGTGGAGATGGGTATACATATTCCTTCTTTGGAGGAGGAGGAGAAGGATATTCATATACCTTCTTCAGTGGTGGAGGTGGAGATGGGTATACATATTCCTTCTTTGGAGGAGGAGGAGAGGGATATTCATATTCCTTCTTCGGTGGTGGAGGTGGAGATGGGTATACATATTCCTTCTTTGGAGGAGGAGGAGAGGGATATTCATATTCCTTCTTCGGTGGTGGAGGTGGAGATGGGTATACATATTCCTTCTTTGGAGGAGGAGGAGAAGGATATTCATATTCCTTCTTCAGTGGTGGAGGTGGAGATGGGTATACATATTCCTTCTTTGGAGGAGGAGGAGAGGGATATTCATATTCCTTCTTCGGTGGTGGAGGTGGAGATGGGTATACATATTCCTTCTTTGGAGGAGGAGGAGAGGGATATTCATATTCCTTCTTCGGTGGTGGAGGTGGAGATGGGTATACATATTCCTTCTTTGGAGGAGGAGGAGAAGGATATTCATATTCCTTCTTCAGTGGTGGAGGTGGAGATGGGTATACATATTCTTTCTTTGGAGGAGGAGGTGATGGGTAGATATAAGGCTTCTCTGGTGGAGGAGGAGAGAAGTATAGATAGGGCTTCTCTAGTGGTGGAGGAGAGGGATAGTTCAACTCCAATGACTTGGAGTCTGCATATGGTAGGAAGCTTAGGCACGCAAATAACAACAATAAAGTGAGAGTAGCAAAAGCCATTTGCGTTTCCATCTTTCTTCAACTCCAAAGTAGGAGTTGCTTCTGCTCTTTGTACTTTGAAGGGTCTAAGAGCCATGCCTTATATAGAAACTTCTTAAGGAACTGGTCTCAATGGATTACATCAGGAGAAAGGAAGTGGGGTCAGTATAACCCACCATTCTACTTGCCCCACATTCCCTTTCTTTCTCTCGGCAATAATCGGCTCTAATCTCTCAAATAGAATTTATAAAAACTTCTCCATTATTTGTGAAAGTATGACTATTTTGTTAGATTTCATGGATTGCATTTTAGATCACTTATCTCGTATGGATATATTTCTTACAGATTATCTATATTGAAATAATAAAATATTTCTCACGTCGCAAAAGAATTTTCCACTTTTTATAAAAAAACCTAACGAATCAAAAATTTCTTTTTCTATTATAAAACTTTTACTTTGATAATTAATTAATTAATTAGTCAGAAAACATTGATAAATAATTTTTTATAATAATATCACATCAATATTTAATAAGTATCAATAAACTACAAATAAATAATAAAATAATACTAAAAAATAATTTATTTATATATTTGTGAAAAACGGAAACTCTTTTACATAATGACTTTTAAAATATAAAAAATTAAAAAAAAAATAGATTACATTAAGACGATGTAAATAGTTTTTCTCCTCTTGAATATTTCTAATAAAGAATATTGACCCTTCTTTTGCTTCCATTTGTTTAAGGCTCAACCATATTGTTCTGCCGTTCAGACTGTATGTCCCTTTCATTTTATTTTATTTTTTCAATATTTTGTTTGGTAGAGAATTCTTCTACATGATACCTAAAAAATATTATTATTTTAGTTTCACTTCACACGCTAATAACTAGGTCCTCCTTAGTGAATTTGAACAAGTCATTAATTAAATATTTTTAGTATGAAAAGAAAGTTAATATTTTTTGAACCAATATGTAAGGCCAAGTGGGCTTACGAGTACGGCTTTGGATTGGATGGATGCCGCAAGATATCTGAACAAAGAAATAAAGTATAAATCAATGTCGAGCACGACGTCCCATCTTGGAGTATGTAATTTTATTTTTGATTGTGTAAGCGATATGTATAGGTCATATGCACTAATAGTTGATATAGTCAAAAGTGGTATTTCTACTTTATTGTTTACTATTTCCTCGAGACTTCGAAGACAATGTCAAAACATGCGTTTCTTCTTTTTGTGCCAGAGTTTTTAATTTTTTTTCCCAACCGCCAGAGTATTTTAATAAAATTTATGAATAATATTATACTATATAATAAAATTAAGAGAAATATCAAATAAAATTTTCGTAAACTTTGCCAAATAAAAATGAAAGTAAATGCTGATTTGGTTATTAGTGAACATCAGGAATGGATTGTAACTTGGAAAACTAATTTAAGACAGGAATGCAGAAGGGATTGGGAAATTATCAATTAGTATTTAGTACTTATAATCTAAGATCTGGTTTATTAATATTAAAAAAAAGTATTAGAAAGTCCATTATTTATTATATTTATATTAATTATGTTAAGTTTATAAGTAAATTTATAAGTGCACATGTATATTTTAACAACTAACAATAGTAAAATAACAGGTAAGTGCTCATATGAAAATTTACATATTGGAATATACATTATAAGAGCTTATGCAATCAAGAAGCTATTAGTTGAGGTAGTAAGTATTTTTACCCCTATAAACAGGAAAACACAAGTTTGAATCCCAATAAACAAACTTGCTGGGAGAGGCTAAAACCCTTTGTGCTGAATTTGATCTAATAAGTATAAATAACTTGATCTATGTTTTTTTTTTTTTTTATAAATATGCCCACCCCCGCAGGAGGGAACTCACACACCCAAACAGCACCCACACACTTTCCCTAAGCTACACGGGATTGATCCTCCAAACTCCTCAACAAAATGCGTGGGGTTATTTCTGTTGTAACCAAACAAAAAAAAAAGGGGTGGGGTTATGCCGAGGGGGGCTTATGGTCGCAACTTGACCTATGTTTTGTCTTATTTCATTTCATAGTTTCCTAATTTGAATAACTTTATTTTAGTATAAGTAACTTATTTTTTGAAATTAGGATTTTTTTTATTGGCTAAGATTAAATATGATATTTGTCACACCTCTTTTTATAATCCATTATATATCAATTGGAACCAATATAAGTCGTTTCGTAACATTTTCAGATGAAAAATTTTGAATTTTAAGATTTCACTGTTCATCCTATCCGTACACTATTCACCCGAAAATGGGTATGGTTTCATGTGAGCAATTTAGGTATAAAAAGGACAAAAAAGAAATAAATGTGAATAACGTAGGGCATGGTTTCATGTATTCTAAACATGTTTTTGTTTTGAAAAATTGAAAAAAAAGTTACTCCTCCGGTCCTTAATATAAGACCTATTTAACTAATTTGATTAGATTAAAAAAGTTAGGTAAGTTAGTTAATTATAAAAAATATGACAGGTTTTTTCTAAAATACTATAATCATCTTCTTTAATATCCTCTTTCTCTTTTTCTATTTGATTATGGTTGAGGGAGTATTTATAAGGGTAATTTAAAAAAATTAATAAATATAAGAAATAGGTTATATATTTAGGACCAAAATTAACTCAATAATTAGGTCATATATTTAAGACCGGACGAATATATGGTAAAATAAAAGACAAAAAACAAGTAAACAAAAGTTTGAAAATGCGCAAAAGCGTTTTTGTAAGCAAAAGTGTCACAATTTTTCTTAAGAAAATTACAAATCACATTAATGAAATTATGATTAAGTGAAATACTCCCAAAATTCACAGAATTTCCTTTTCCCTATATTACAAGCATAGCAAAAAAAATTTTTTTACTAGTTTATTTACAACTTTAGCGAATTAATGTCAAGGGGCCGAGCCGAAAATCCCCAAGTTTTTTATTTCATAAAAATTACAAATGACACAAATAAAAAAGAAAAATACTTAGGTCAAAACAGAAAAGAAGAAGAATGAAGTTAAGAACAATAATATCTACGCCATCCTTATTTCTTGGCAGAAAAATAATACAACAACAATATCTAAATATATTTTGGATTTTTAAGCAATATACTTAATCCTGATGTTAGATTTATTCAAAACTCGTGTTCATTAAATTATGTGTTTCTAATTTATGGTTTACCGTTTCCAAGTAACTTGGATAACAATGTCAAACTTTGTGTATTTTTTTTCACAGAATTATTTTAATAAAATTTCTTAATCATAATTCTTCTTTCCTAAATATAATACATTAGTACTGCAGATTTTCAAATACACGGCGCTTGATACGGTTAAAACATAGCACGGTCACATATGAAGAGGCGAAGATCATGTCAATCAATACATGACGGTTACATTTAAAACCATCACGTACCAATATGTGCCAATTAATTATATTAACCGTCACGTATTTTTGCCATAGTTTAAGAAGAGAAAAAGTAAAGACATATATGATGACTCTCAAGCTCAAACCGTTTGATATATTCCTTCAGTCCAAAATATAAGACCCATTTTGTAGTGTAAATTACACTACAAAGTGGGTCTTATATTTATAAACCGGAACAATATTATTTTAAACGATCCATGCTTCTATCTGTTGAACTTCTATAATGATTTGATTCAAATTTAATTTTACGAGCTGTTACTTGATTCAAAACATACATAATCTAGTTACAATACTTTTGACATCGTCTTTGATAACACCACCGGATAGCCACTGATAACAATTGTTACTTCAATACATGGCAATTATGAGATTTTATCCCTATTATCTTCAAATCTTTTGTCAAAACAAACTTTGTCGCATTAGAAGAATACCCATATGGGACCTTAATACTATACAAACAATCATAGAAGCTTCTTTTCTCTTCTTTGGACATTGTGTGTACTACTGAGTGCAAATAAGCTTTCTAACTTTCAAGGATGTAATGTAGCTTTTATTCCCATTTTGGCCAACTCTAATCTTGCATAAACTCCTTCCTTAGTCTTTCCACTTATGTGTAGAAACGTGACCACAAGATTACATACACGTTTTTCTCTACATCCATCACATCTAAACTGTGTTTCACTTCCAAATATTCTTCTTATTGCCATCTTCTTATTCTTCTTATCGAACAGGACATTGATTCTTTCAACTTATTGATAAACTTCCTCTCTAGTTAATAGTATTGGAGTTATTTCATACTCCTGCGCATCATTGAAAGCCTTCTTCAATCTAAGGTAATGGTGGTGCTGATTGAGAAATCTCCTATGGCAAAAGGCATATTGTCTTCTGTCCACATTTAGGTTGGACATAATGTGTGCCTTCTTGACATGTAGAACACGCTTTATGCCCTTTAATACTGTATCTTGACAAATTTTTATATACAGGAAAGTTATTTATTATGATGAAGATCATTGCGTGTAGCTTAAATGTATCCTGCTTTTATGCATCAAACACCTATGTACCCTCCTCCCACAACTTCTTCAAGTCCTCAATTAAAGGTGCCAAGTCAACATCAAAATCATTTTTGGTTGTTTCAAAATCATTAAAGATAACATAATATGCTTTCGTTTCATACACAATTAAGGAGGTAAGCTGTAAATCACTAGGAGAACTAGCTATGCTCAATGTGTGCTATTAAGATTACCATAAAAATTAATTCCATTTGTACAGAGTCCAAAGCTGAAGCTTTCTTGGTTCGCCACCAAATTTAGGAAACATTTCAATTAACAGTGCCTATAACATAATGAATGGTTCTCTTCACAATGCTAAAATGATCTTTATTGTGATTATGCATGAATCTAGAAACCACGTTCACAAAATGTGCAATCTCGGACCTTGTATTAGATAACTAGTTCAAACTACCTACTATACTCCCATACCATCTTGCATTCTTAAGTTTAGTATCATATTGAGCTCTCAATTTCTCATTCGCGTTCATAGGAGAACATACCGTTTTAAAACCCATCATCTAAAACCTTTTGCGTAATAATCCCATATCCAACATTTTAAACTTCTACATCATACTTAGCTTAAAATCAGCAATAACTTTTTC